GCGCCCGGCGTGAGTTCTAAGCCACCAGGTCCGGGACGCGAACCGTAGTCGACTACATGGGAGTCCAACAATATAGCCATTACACCGACTGCTGGTCCCCAGAAGAAACTTTTTTTTTAATAATTATTTTATTTCATTTATCATCATTATTATTATTTGTTTAATTTGACCAGAGAGAGACAGAGAATGAGAAAGGAAAAGTAGGAAAGCAAGCCTCCAGGTCCAGGACTCAAACCACAATTGTCCATGTGAGAATCCAGCGCCTTAACCACTATGCAACTTGCTGATCCCAAGAAGAAACATTTTTTTTAAAGCCAAAATCAGCGCCAGCCTGTGGCGTGGTGGTTAAGGCTCTGGATTCCCACATGGCTGACCACAGTTCGAGTCCCTGATCTGGAGATTTGAAAATCACACCAGGCACTGTGTGTGTGCACACCCAGAATCCCAAGAGGAGAAGACAGTGCAGTGTAGCCATCCCCATGTGGAGTGATTCCTAACTTTCCCTCTCTCTGTCTCTCTCTGGAGAGTACAGAAACCTTATAGCAAAAACCTAAAAAGGAAAAAAAAAAAAGAAAGGCAAAATAAGGCACCTTTGAATGTGACCAGGCAGGCTGGATGCCCATTCCCACCCAAACCCTCTCCTTTGGCCCAGCGTCCACCAAGGACTCAGCGCCCACCAATGCCACTGGCTTCCTGGTGATCTTGGACGCTTTTACTCAACCTCTGAGCCCATGGCCTCGCATGCACCGTGGGAATCAAAATGCCTGTTCCCCTGGGCTTGGGTGAGACCCCATGTCGGAGACACCCAGCCCGGGACTGGGCCCTCAGACACACACGGGGTGTCTCTATTTCCATGTGAGCTTCCTGGCATCACGCGGCCCCAGCTCCGCCACCCCTTGTCCCCAACGCACACCTGTGCACATCCCACTGGGGACAGAGGGACTTGGGAGTGGCGTGGAAGGTCAGAGGGGGCCGGTGAGATGGCACAACTTGTCCCACAGAAGGGGACGGTTGTGCCGGCTATTTGTGCTCTGGTTGTCCTCCGTCTCATCGATATTCTCGTCCCAGCCAGCCTGACAAGAGAGCTTTGTTGAGGGGGCCTGGTAGAGCTAGCCAGCTGGGAGCGTGTGTGTACCAAGCCTGTGGCCAGACAGGCCTCTCTGCTCACAGCCCGGAGTAGACAGGAGCCCTGGCAAGGGGGCAGAGAGAGTTTTCTATTTTTTCTTTTGAGAGAGAGATTTTTTGTTGTTGTTGTTGTTGCTATAGGGCACATGTGTTCACTGGAGAGACAGAGAGAGACAAAAAGACAGAAAGTGAGAAATCATCCCCTAGCCAGCCCCGGGGGGGGGGGGGGGGGAGTGGCCATGCCACCATCCCTTCTCCATTCTGCTTTCAGGATTTTGTGCATACACGCACACGTGCCCAGCCTGAATTTCAAACCTATGGGTCTAGGACTCGAACCGCAGTCAGCCACGTGGGAGTCCAGCACCTTAACCTTAACTGTGCCACCTGCTGGCCCCAAGGAGAGTTTTCATATGCACGACCCTCCAAGTTCTGGGCATTGGTGGGGACAGTGAAGACAATGGCCACTAACACTCCTCACTCCCTCAGCCCCAGATGCCTGGCCTCACGTACATAAGTACACATGTCACCACGTCATCTAAGCCTGGGAGGGAGGTCCCACGATCATGCCCATGTTACAGATGAGCAAATAGAGGCTCTAGAAGACAAAGCAACCTGTCCAGGGGCTTACAGTAAACGGCAGCGCCAGGGTGTGAATCCTGCCCCAACCTCAGGGCTCATCCACCTGCCCCCGCCTTCAAAAATTACTAATTTATTTAATTTATTTATTATTAATAGTTTAATTTGCTAGAAGGCACTTGTGCTTGAGAGACAAAGTGAGAATGCAAGCCACCAGGTCTGGGACTCGAACCACGGTCAGCCAGGTGGGACTCCAGCACCTTAACCACCAAACCACCTGCCAGCCCCATCCACCTGCCTGGTGTGAGTTTAAGCCACTAAAGAATCATGAAAGGATGAACCGGGGCTATACAGAAGTGTGTTCGGATTTCGAGGGTGCGAGTCAGACTGTTCTGATACCAGCCCATCCCTTTTGCTGTCCCTGTGACCTTGGGCAAGTGACCACCCCCTGTGCCTCAGTTTCCCTCTCTGTGAGATGGATTGGCCGTAATGACGGTATCCACCTCCTGGGTGGTTTGGCACTTCCAAGGGCTCAGTGACCTCAGCCAGTTCTGGCTTTACCGCTCTTGTGCCTTAGGGCACCTACTGCGTGCAGGATCTCACTGGATTCTCCTTCGGTCCTCCTGAGGGCCCTGGGGAAGTAAATATTTGCAAATAAACAAGCCGAGGATGGACCAGTGGAGGTAGGAAGAGGGAGGAGGAGGCAGAGGAGGAAGTGCCTCCAGCTCCCTCCTCCCCTTACCGAAGCCCCTGATGGACTCCAGGCCCGGGGAGTGGGTCCTGAAAGGGGTGTGTCCGATACTGGGGCCCCATTGGCAGCCCGGAGGCCGTGGGCGTGTCCTGGAAGGGGCGCGGCCGGCCCTGCGGCCCCATTGGCTGCTCGGAGGCGCCGGGAGAATAAAGCCGGGTAGCCCGGGGGCGGATTCAGAAGACAGCCTACCTGTTCTTCCTCCATCTCTCCCTGGGCTGTGCACCCAGTCTAGACCTCCTTCACTCGCTCTGCTCAGAGCAGCCGCCCAGCTCCATCGACGATGCCTGGTAAGTGAGTGGCCCCACTTCAACCCCAGCAGGGAGCATTCAGGTTTAGGGATGCTCTTAAATTCAAGTTTTTGGGGTGTCCCTAGTCTCTGGCTTTGATTCAAGAGAGCTAAGGGAGAGATGGCATATAAACCTCACTCCCTGAATGCCAGGTGGCTCAGAGACAATCATGGGGTGCCCATACTTGGGGGGGAGGTGTTAGGGCTGGCAGGGCAGCCAGAATCTCCACCCTCACTTTCCTTCTGGAGGGTCGTCTGGCCAAGTCTGGGAGAAAAGCTGAGCTGGAGGGTGCTGGGTAGCCACTTGTGCCTGACCTGGCACCCCTGGGCCGGCCACTCGCTGTTCTCCCCTGGCTAGTCCAACTTAGGGAGCATCACATCTCTCCCGAAACTCTCAGCAGGGGAGTCAGAGAGACAGAGTTGGAAAAACCAAGTGGGTCTAGGTGGGTGTCACCAGACCCTGGACCACCTCACCTTCTTAGTCACCCAGAGCCCATCCGGAAGGGGAAGTCTGAGCCACACCCAAGAGTCCTGAGGGTATAGCCTTTGCTCTGGAGCCAACAGCCCAAGTTCAAATCCTGCCTCTTCCGCTTGCCCGCTGGGTGGGTGGGGAGGTCATGGGAATTAACGTTCCAGTTGCATTGCTGTGCGTCAGACTGCCACACACACAACCACCACAACAGCGACCAGTTTCCTATTCTTTCCCACAGTCCTGGGGTTTCATGGGGCTCAGTGAGGCAGAGCCCACTTGGGGTCTCTTGTGCAATGAGGTGTAAGAGTGGCTAAGCAGCAGCATCGCAACGGTTCCCCCTCCAGGTTCGGGTAGTTGAGACTGGCCACCAGGGGAACCAGCAGTTAGCGTAATGGCTATGTCGCTGGACTCCCATGTAGTCGACCACGGTTCGAGCCCCGGACCCGGTGGCTTAGAACTCACGCCAGGTGCGTGTGCGTGCGTGCCCAAGATCCTGAGAGGAGAACGGAGGAGAAGGGATTGCGGCGTGACCATCCCCCCTGGGGGATGATTTCTCGCTTTCTGTCTCTCTGTCTCTGTCTGTCTGGTTGGCAAGCGCACACGCCCTATAGCAAAAACCTCTCAAAAAAAAAAAAAAAAAAAAAAAAA